TAACAAACTGGCAGCAGTTCATGCCCCCAGACTGTTGGGGCTCAAGGAGAAGCCGCCCATTGACTCAGCAGCGGGCCCTCGGGCTTGTCGGACACTGTGGAACCGTGCCTGGGGCCGCCCCTGAGACTGCCACCTTCTCTTCTGTACCAGAGAGCACACCTCGGGCACACCAAGTGGCATCTAGCCATGCAGGGGGCTGGGGGAGGGAGGGTGCGAAGCAAACTCTCAGTGTTAGACTCTTACATAATTTGAGAATTTGGGAGAGTGTATAGTTTTGTACTGCTAAAGTTCAATGTTTTTAAATAATCAAGGCAGAGGAAATTTGCTTTGAAACAAGGAAAGCCTGGGTGAAGCATTCCTCGTGTTTGCCTGCAGATCTTCGGCCCCGTTCAGGAAATTCTGAGGTTTAAGACCATGGATGAAGTGATTGAAAGAGCCAATAACTCAGACTTTGGACTGGTCGCAGCCGTCTTCACCAGTGACATCAACAAGGCCCTGACGGTGTCATCGGCAATGCAAGCCGGGACCGTGTGGTAAGACCAGAGTCCGCCTCCTTGTTCTGATCATTACCCGAAGCCTGGGCGCTGTGAACAGGCACCCTCTGGAAGACGGGGAAGACCCACAGCAATCAGACTGAGCCCTGAAAAGGGATGCCCTTCTTCCTGGGGAGGCTAGGACACCAGGGTCCAATTTCAAGGATAGAATTTCGAGCTGTAAAAAGGAATTAAAAAATAATACTTCTGCTAGAAATACCCTGCAGTGGGCTTGTTCCTGTGCAGGCAGCCTTCACCGCACTCACAGCATTATCTTTTGTTTTTCAGGATCAATTGTTACAATGCTTTAAATGCCCAGAGCCCCTTTGGGGGATTCAAGATGTCTGGAAATGGGAGAGAAATGTAAGTGTCCAAACTTGCCAAGGATTTCTGATTATCAGCATAAAGTGCTCTCACTCCTCTTAATTCATGAAGCAGACTTTATTGAGTACGTGTACTTACACACTATGCTCTAGACTACATGTTACAAAGACAATAGGACATCTTTTACCCTAAGTGGGACTCGAGAAAAATAAACATTTCAGTAATTCTCTGTAATAAGGGCTATCATAGAAGTGTGTTCAACATCTTACACACATAGAGGCCATCAGATGTGCGGGATTCAGAGAAGATTTCAGCAAGAAATAGGATTGTGGGCATTTCAGAGGCCGGCAGAGGGAATTGCAGAGGGAAGGCCTGGCAGATAGCAGAGTAGTCAGGGAATCGAAGGGAATTTCATGTTCTTCAGACAACGGTCACCCATTGCCAGCACAAGGGACTTGTATGAACTGCAGAAGTGGTTTGTTTTCCCTTCAAAGTGTTTAACAGTCTACCTAACATTTATAAACAAGGAGTATTTATACAGAATCTAGGTTTCTGGTTTATTTCCATCCCCTTATAGCAAAGTTGCTGGAGCTCTGAGCTCTGTACTTGGCCATGATCCCCACAAGTCTTGCTGCTTCCAAGGACAGGTGTTGGTTGTCGCTTACTTTGTATCCCCGCAGTCCAGGAACTTGTGCCACTTGCTCTGCCCTGGTAGGTTCTGTGATTTTGGGCCTGTAGGGTTGTGGCATGGATGAATTGGGGTTCTTACTGAAGATACAAATGGAAAGGTTGATTGAGAAGAAATCTCAAAAGACGTCAACAAGCAGCATGTGGGTGCTGAGGCGATACCAAAGACTTTAAGACAAGAATGTTGGCAGAGAGAGGATGCTGGGACAGAAAGAACAGGAAAACGGTCTGTGAGAAAATGTTTGCATCGACAGCAATGGATGTCATGAATGGAATGCCTGCTGTGCATCTGTTAAATCACTTTCTAACGTCTCATTTGGTTTTGACAGAGGTTCTGTGGGATAGATATTACAAATGATCCACATAAGGAACTCGGGGTTAAGAGGGGTTAGTGGCTTGCCAAGGAAACTAGCCAGTAAGTGGCAGGTCTGAGATGTGGCAGGTCTGGGGCTCAGTGGTCAAATCCTGTGTACTCCACCCTCAGGATTAAGGGACCCCAGGGGTCAGGCTCAGGGCTCTTCAGAGCTAGATAGATTTCCCAAAGCTGCTGAAGAACTGAAGCACAGCTACAACTGGCCAATATTGGCTGGTTCCATATGTCGTCAGTAGGCGCTGTCAACACAACTAGAACTCTCCATGGGCTTTCCAGGCTTTCTCTTGGTGGAAACCAGGGCTTTCTCACTGGGAGGCGCTGGCTGGGTGTGAGCTGCCATTATGGGTGTTCACAGCTGACTGCCAACAGACCCTTGATCAACAGTGTCTGGTCTAGTGTAGGGATTTGAGGAGAGGGGCATTTGGGTGGAATAAAAAAGGGGGTAGTTTTTCCAGAGTTGGTGCTTAAAGCTGGTGGCGCTGACAGAAGAGTGAGTGAAGACGTTGCTGGAGAAGTCACTACGGGGTGGGGGAGCATAGCGAGCCCCTAGACTAGAGCAGAGCTCTTCCCCGCCTCCGCTTCCTCAGCTGCTCCTTTCTAGTCCGCAACCGTGCACGAGGTACAGCTTGCCAGCCAAGAGCAGAATTTCTCGCCATCAAACTGCGTGGATTTGAATTCTACCCTTCCTACCTGTGCTTCTTGGAACAAATCACTTAATCTCGCTGAGCCTTCGTTTCCTCATCTATAAAATGGTACCTACCTCATAGAATTGCTGCGGGGATGATACACGGGAAGTAAGTGTGTGCAATAGCTAGCAGAGGGCCTGGCAAGCCCTCAGAAAATAATTAGCTTCTGGTATCTTTGCTAATCCAGTTGAGTGTTACCTAGTTGGCCTTTCTTCCTTCCTAGGCCTCTTGCTTTGGGAGCATAGCAGGATTTTCCCTAATTCCAGCCAGTGTTGCCAACTTACATTCTGCCTCTGGAAATGCCAGGGAGACAGTGTTCTTGCTCAACTTTTCCCTTGTCTGGCCTCCAGGGCCCCTTCCTTGCTTTACAGCCAGCAGTACCCCAGGACCAGTCTGGGTCTTGTTATCCTTGTATAAAGTCTCCATCTCTTCCACTTAGGGAACTTGCATATGGCCTGAGCCATCTGCTGCCACTTTTTGTGATGCCTTCAATTTGTCACTACAGTTCCTGCCCGTGTCTGTGTTGTCCCGGCCTCGGAAGCATTTGGGCAATCACTGGCGAGGGTGACACTGCTTGCCTGGGCTGTTGTGTCACAGATAATTAACAGAGTGAATCATGAGCATGAAGTCAACTTGCCATAAATAATCATTGGTTGATGGACCCTGATTGTAGCCTTCATTATGAGCAGGTCTCCTGCCAGCATTCAGGCAAATACATTATCCAGTTCCAGTCCGCTCAGAGACGTTTCCCCAGCTTACAGAGAAGGCTGAGAGAGCGTTTGGCTGTGTCAGAATCCCACATCGCCGTGGCCTGAGAGATGAGGGGAATGGATTCTTTCATTTTCTAAGCACTAGAGGGATTTAACTTTTCCAGTGCAGTTAAAAACGACTTTGGAAATGGTTGTTCTTTGATGATACTCTCTTCATCTTGTCTAAATTACATGGTTCTCTGTCCCTACTTGCCCCGAAAACATGTTTTCTCTTCCTTGAGTGACCTAGAGTGGTAGGAGATAGTTCCAATAAAAGAGCTTGCTCTGTTCCAGTCCCCCACTCGCTAACATTGGATACAGCCCCAGAAACGCCAGCCAACCCTCCTGCAGGATGGAGGAATTGTTTCTCCATGCCCGGCATTAGTCCCTGTGCCTCCCGCCCAGCTCGAAGAAGAACCAGGAAGGGCAGAAGGGACATAGCACTCTTGGGAGGCAAGCTCTCTGGGGCTGGCAGAGCCTCAGTGGTCTCCCCACGGAGAGTGGCAGCGAGGGCTGCCCTCTACAGGTCATCTGATGGCTGGCCTCAAGTTCCCCGGTTACAGGAGAGCTGACTCCAGTCCTGCCTGCCGGTGGATTCCATCTGCTTCACTCTTCCTGTCCATTGTCTTACGCCCTCACCTAGGCTCCCCTCGAGAAGGGGCAGGTGGGAGAACTGGAGCCATAAAATATATCACAAACCCAGGGGATGGAAAATGTCCGCATTTTAAAACCTGAATCGGGCTTTGAGCATGGGAAGCATTCTTAGTGTACTTTAAATCAAGTGTTTTCCAGTGAGTGAGTGAGTGAGTGAGTGTGTGTGTGTGTGTGTGTGTGTGTGTGTGTGTGTGTGTGTTCACAGACACAGCACATCTGGGTTAGGACTTAAAGGAGCCCTGGTGGTACAATGGTTAAAGGGCTCCAATGCTAAGCAAGTTAGCAGTTCGAATATTGGGAGAAAGATCGAGTGATCTGCTTCTTTGAAGATTAGAGCCTTGGAATTTGTGGCCGTTTCCCTCTGTCCTGTAGGATTGGATTCTACTCGTGCATTGGGTTTGGTTTGGGGTTTGGACGAGGGCCCAGGATCTGCATGTTAACGAGCTTCTGGAAGGATTCTAATGCAGGTGGTCTGGGGACCCTGTGTACTCTAGGAGAAATACTGATATAAGCCAAAGAAAAAGTGAGGGAAATATATTCTCCAGTTAGAAATCTATACTTGGTTCATGGATAAGGTGACCAGATTTTAACATTGTAAAGTGGGACACCATTGATAAAACTCATATCCGGGCGAAATAGCCACATGGCAGCCGAAAAGTGTATACCCTAGCTTGTTGTGCATTCTTTCCAAAATTCGGGACTTTTTTCAAATGCCGTGGGATGCGGGAAAAATTGTTCAAAGTCAGGACTGTCCCGTCAAAAGCGGGACGTCTGGTCACCTTATTCATGGAAGAGGCTGCGTGAGTCCTGACGTGGCTGACTGAGGCCACAGAAACCTCACCTCGTCCTGCCACGCTCCGGGGCTCCTACTTCTGCAGGTTGTCAGTGAAATGTGTGAGTGCTGCACTTCCACAACTGCTGCCCGGAGTGAGCTGGAGCCCGAGAGGATGGAGGCGGCCTGACCGGAGTCCTAGAGCCACTGATGGCAGAGCAAAGCCTGCCCTGGCCTGCTGACCCTGGCCAGTGTTCTCACCGCCTGCTCACAGTGCTCTCCGGCCTCTCTCCGGCAGTCCCTGGTGTCCTGGCCCCCGGCCAAGTTGGATCCTCTGCTGTCTTGGAGCAGCTTGGGCCTAGACTGAAGATCTCTGCCCAGGACCTAGGAGAAGAGCCTGCCAGGGAAGCAGGATTTTCCATTTTATCAGGCACTCAAAGATGATGGGCCCAAAGGCCACACTGAAACAACCAGTCCTCAAGGCTGCTGCTCCTTAGGCCTCCTTCCATTTCCTACCACCCTGGTTAGAGAGCTGAGTGGGAGGACAGTGTGGCGGGGTCTGCCCCAGTGCGTGCATAAGCCAGGAACCTTGAAGGGAGAAACCTCACTTCACACAGGAGGCACACCATGTCCTTGATGAAGAGACACATTCAGGATTGCCCAAGGGCAGGAAACAGTGCAACAAGAGCCAGAGCCGAGCTGGTAATAAAGTCCGAGCTGGATGGAGCTAATGAGGGAACCTAGAAGTGTGTGGTTCGTAGTTCTGTAAGGAGAGGTACCAGTACAGACCTTGGCTGCCCGCTGATGTCCTAGGAGGGGAGGCTTTGTCAACTCAGGTGTCCCTGACGTTCAGAGATGCTGCTGGTAGAGCAATTAGAACAGTGGTTCTCAACCTGTAGGTCGCAACCCCTTTGGGGGTCAAATGACCCTTTCATAGGGGTCGCCCAATTCATAACAGCAAAATGACAGTGATGAAGTAGCCACGAAAATAATGTTATGGTTGGGGGTCACCGCCACATGAGTACCTGTATGAAAGGGTCTCGGCCTTGGGAAGCTTGAGAACCACTCACTGCGTTAGAGTCTGACATAGGGAAGGGGGTTCCTGACACGACTAGAATGGGTCATTTAAAGTGGGTCTCCTAGGGAAACAAAGTGAGAACGCTGCCTATGCCTGGCTGTTTTAAAAGACAGTGTTTCTTAATCATCTCCACATCCATCTCTAAGCCTTTCGTTTACTGGTGGGATAGTGTAGAACCGGGAGAGGAAGGTTAGGGAGATCACTCATTTAACAGTCGTTGAGTGCCGCCTTTGTGTTGGACCCTATAGAGTACGGGTGATATTTGCTGAAGGGCAGAAGCGAATCCATGGAGACAGGCACTCACATAGTGACTTTCCAGGGTGGCACCTCTGATGGTAGCGGTGTGGACAAGGGGCTGTGTGAACATGGGGAGGGGAATTCCCCCTGCTCCTGGGAGTCATGAAAAGCTTCATAGAGGAATTGGCCTTAGGGAAAATATAAGAAAAGAAAGTTAAATTAAAGAAAAAAAGTAGCACAGGTTTGATTTTAAGAGCAAAGAAAGAAATTTAAGGCAATTCAAACAAGGCGATGCGTGGGTTCGGAGCATCTCGGCAGATAGGTTTTGCCACACACCAGTGTCTCCTACCACACAGGTGAGCATGCCTCTTGAGGGCGGGAAGGACCGAGTCTCCTTCCCCCGATTAGAAGTGCTGTCTGCGCTCCCGTTGCTTACTTTTGCCCCTGTCAGCCCAGCACACTGTTGCTCTGTGGTCCTAGCTCAGTCAGTGTGCTGAGTAAGTGGTGGCCCAGGGCTCGTGCCCAGCATCCCACAGGGCTCTGCAAAGCAGGAAAGGAATTGGCCAAAGGAAACTGTTGGAGGTAAAACTTACCCATGCTTGCCAATTCCTTATCATTCAGTTATGACTTTTTAAAAATTAATCATTTTATTGGGGGCTCTTAAAGATATTTTAAACCCACGATTCATTTAGTTCAAGCGTAATTTTACAATAGGTACCACCATCCGTTTAAGAACATTTTCTTTTAAATCGTTTAATTGGGGGCTCATTCAGCTCTGGGCAACGTTGGGGGCTATGAACAGTCTATCTTCTGGGTTGTTTTTAAGATGTGAGATGATATGTGTTCTTGAGGGCCTTTAGGTATTTGCTCCTGTTTGTTAGTGTGAAGGGATCAGACAAAGGGGATTCGAGTATGAGTGGGCTCACCTGGGGATCCTAGTGTTGTCTGTGTGATCAAGAGACGAGATCTTCAGGAGAGAAAGCAGAGCCCCGCAGAGTCTCCAGGACAGGGTGGGGTAGAAGTGAGTCCGGGTGAGTGTCCGTCAGCTTTGGGCAGTCCGTGCTCCCTCACGCCCGCAGCCTTTAGGACTTAACCTAGCAGCAAAGCCTGGGCATCTCTGTGGCCTGTGGCCAAGGCTGATCCCCAGGTGTGTTTTTGCTAGTGCGTAGGCGTCCTTTCGGTGTGAGGCAGGGAAGGCAGATGACCCTTTACGTTGAGGAGACAACCTTGAGCTGAGAGCCTCCTGGGCACTACGGAGGATGGCTGCACACGCTGTAGGCCCTGTAGGGATATCTTGAATGGGAAGCCCAGGGCTTTCAGGTAGCCGGTACCAGACTGTACCTTCTAAAGAACTTTCACTGTCTGAAACTGTGTTGCCTGCGCCTCGGGTATCTGATCCTAACCGTTTCTGTTTTCAGGGGAGAATTTGGTTTGAGAGAATACTCTGAAGTGAAGACGGTGACAGTAAAGATCCCCCAAAAGAACTCCTAAGAAGACCAAGAAGGAAGGAAAAGCCAGCCCAGACAGCCCCTCCCTCTGCTTTCCCTGTGGGGCCCAGTTCTCAGGAACACCAAGTTCATACACGCTCCTTATTGAAAGGTTTCATGACAGCATGTAGGCCAGGCTGGTGACTGCATAACCCAGCAGACAGCTGGGCACGGCTCCTTGGCACTGGAAGAGATCATCCTAATGATATCAAAAACTGGGGAAAGTGGGACAAAGGGAAGCGCAGTTACTCTTGGGCACGTCCAGGATCTCCCTGGAGTGAGGGGCTGATTATTGGAGTGAGGAGCTATGTTATCGGATGCCTTTTGTTGCAAGGAACTTTCCTCTTGAGGAAAGGCGGCCTTTCCATTGTCTTCAGTTCCCTGATCCGACTCTCCACTCACCCACCCCTCCGGATCCTCGCCGAGATCTCAGCTGAGCTCATTTGGGGCAGATGTTTGGGCCGGGAACAATTTTCCAAGGGTTTGCAGCCAAATTACCGTTTCATGTTATCCATTTCTTCAAAGCAAAACATGAAATGGTTTTAGTTAGAGCCAGACCAGACTGAAAATGCCAGGAGCTGGTGCACTGCGGCAGATGTACTGGGAAATAAAAACTGGGGCTATTCTTGACCCAGTCTGGTCTTGTCGTGCCCATAAATAACGTGAAAGAAAGAAGATCGGGACGATGGGGGTGCGCAGGGTCTCACATGTAGTCCACAGCGTCTGAGCTCAGTGCACGGTACTGTTTTGTGTGTCTCCATGTTTCCTTCCCCCTCTTGGCTATTCTGGATGAAGGAGAAGTGGGTGGTTTATCATAGATAGGTATGGTCTGTTCTCAAGCTCATCTTTGAAATCTACCCAAACAAGTCGGAGTGGGCTCAAAAAGTGGGGAAAAGGTTCTTTGAAGACTTAATTCGGGTCCCAGTGATGACTGACAATTCTTCCTATGTGCGGATATCTCTGCACTTGGTATCGATAGCTTCTTCTGCAGCCCCATTCTATACTCCCCTAACCCTTGGTACTCCCAGTGTTTCAGACGTCACAGGTCTCGTCTGGGCCCAGTGAGTCCTAAATTCATGACCATTAACCTTGGAAAACAGGGCCACACCAGGGGTTCCATTTGTGTGTGCAGAGTTCCCGTGGGCCCTGACTGCCATGCTCCACAGAGCTGCTCTGCCACACCAGGGGCGGGCCCGCTACACACCTGCACACACCACAGCCCTGGCTTCATCTCAGCACTCCACCATCAGGCGACACAGGAGGCAGGTGCCGCTCCCCTCCCTCAACCATACGTCTGCTGCTCAGTGAGTTCACGGTTGGTGTGGGGAGGGTCTGCGCTCTTTCCTTCTTCCCTCTTTCCCGCTGCAGAATCCAATTCAGTCTCTAATCTGCATGAAGGTCATTTATTTAAAAGTACCAAGCATAACCTAGAGTATGTGGAATATGGGCAACATATATATATATATATACACACACACACACACACAATCACACACACATATATAGAGCCTTCTGTATTTAACAGTTGTCTGCTTTCTAACTCTACCGGTTTTCTATTTAAAGCCCTTGTCTATTAACAGTGTTTTAAAGAAGTCTCAAGTCAGTGTTACCAACAAACACAGAGCATTCAGAAGCCTGCCACCTCGACTGATGCGCATCTCTGATTCTGCAGTGTGAACGATGCTCCCTCCCCTGTAGCAGCGAGTGTCCAAGTAAACATTCCCACTAACAAACTAGTTACCTTGAACTGCAATATAGGATGTGAAAATGAAGATTTATTTCCTTTAATGTACTTAAAAAGAAACCTCTGTGCTAGCAATAAAGCATTTATATTGTGTACTCCAGGCCCTCTCTGGCTGTGATTCTAAGTGTCGGTGTCACGCTACGTTCCTTTGGATCCTTCCCTCACCTGCTGGGTGGTTGACTCCATAGTGAGCAGAAGGCCGGCAGGGAAACAGGACCCTTACTTTCTCACCCCATGTAAAACCCATGGGTACCTAGAGTTCTGTGCGGCTAATGTTTAAAAGCATCAATGAGATATTCCCCACAATGACTCATTCATAATAGCTCCAAGAAAGCGGAAATGTTGAAGGCGTTGAGGACCCTGTTTTGACAAACATGCACGCGCTGCACAGCGAGAGTGCAGACCACTGGTGGCATTTTGTGGTAGCTTTATTTTTATTTATCAGTGAAATGAAGCCAAAGGCTGACACCATGCTGCGATACGATTGCAGCTGTGAAAAGAAAGCTATAAATGGTGACAGTACCACCAGCTAGAGCTTGTTTTCTCTTGATTCTCAGAGTTGACCCCCCACCCCCCCCCCAGACCTGCACGCTCTCCCCTACCAACCTGTGGACTCTCCGCCCAGGGTCTGGTCAAGCGACACACGCTTTAAACGGGTGACTTCACCCTGGAATAGACGGAACCTGAACAAAGAGGTGGATTGAGCTCTCCTGGGATTTGCTCTGTCTGCCGACACCTTGGCCTTCAGAGGGATAAATCACGGATGGGAGGCTGCAGACCCTGAGACAGTGGGCCGGGCTCTGAAGTGTTGGCCTGAGGGTCCCGTGAATATATTTGTGTTTGGTCCTTGGAGCCACTGGGAAGAAAATGAGAGCAGTGGGCCTCATCGTGATCCTGTGGAAGTCCTGGGAAGATGCCACTGTGGAGTGGGGTGTCAGAATGAGGAGTCAGCGGCCATAATGTGATAGTGCTGTGAGCATTAAGTTCCTCAAACATCATCTCTTTCCAATGCTGACAAAGTAGGATGAAGTTGGCATCGTGCGTGGTGCCGATGATGAGCCCCCAAACCCTCCTCTTTTTGCCATCAACCTGCGTCTTCCTGGTCACTTTTTACCATTAATCCCTCAAGTCTCCCTCTTCCAAAATTTCTCCGGTTTATTCATATCGATTTTTATCCATTCCATTTTAGAAAATGTAGGTTCTAAAGAGCAGTACTTAGAGTATACTGGTCTAGACAGTGCATGGAAGCAGTAGGAGACTCATTACAAACCAAGCTTGGCATAATCCTGGCCAGGCCAAGGTGGGGAAGAGAGGAGGACATCATGAAATGGACAGATGACCCAGTAAATGTGAAAGAACGAAGGTACAGGTTCACATTTGCACACCCAGGGAGCAGGGAAATGACTGCGTCACACAAGTTGAATCCCGGAAGCAAGGCTTTAGGGGAACCTTGACTTCAGCTTTGGACACAGATTTTGAGAGCAACCTCCAGATAGCAATCCTTGGTCAACAGTGGGAGATAGGGGATTTGGAACTCTGCTCCGCGGCATGAATATGAAAGTGAGGGCTCTACAAAGCGCAAGAATTAGGACACAATCAGGGCTGGGCAAAGATCTCAGCAAAAGAAATCTCAATAGGAGGAGAGCGGGTCAGCTGGAACCCACCAGAGAAGCCAGCTGGCCCTCTCGCACCTTTCCAAATGCCATCGCCTGAACGCAAGGCCAATTTCCCCTTCCCCACTCAAGTTCCTTCTAATTGCAGGTGGTACTTGAGCAACTGTTAGCTCATGTCCTTTCCTCCTGTGTGGCTCTGAGGTGGACCAGGACGAGCACAGTGCTGAATAGAGCAGGTGCTACACTGGCTGGCTGGCTGGTGGAGTCTGCCCGAACGCTCATGCCCCATGACTGTCATAGCCTTGTTGCTCACTCACTTCACTGCACTTGGAGGCATGACAGGGCTCGGTGAAAGACCAAACATGACCGACTAGAGAAAGCTTGGCTGCCACTGATCAACTCAAATCCCATACCATCAGATTGTAAATGAACAGATCAAAACTGTAACGGAAGCATTCATTCTTACTCTCTCAGCCTCATTGCTGCCCCCTTCTTGAGAACGATGTGAACCCGGAACGTGGCTCAACAATTTACATGGCGCCAAGTTATTGTTCCCTGTATGGGCAGTGTTAGCTGATGAGAACAGCATTGACTCCCAGTGATCTTAAGAAAGGAAACTTCCCTCACCTCACTTTCCTTCCCATAAACCTGTTTATTATGCCTGCCTCTGCCCCAGCACTAGGCATTCGAGACAAGCCAGCACAGCTACTACCCTTGTGAAGCGCAGTGGTTATAGTGGCCTAGCTGTAGAGTCCACCCTGACCACAGAGGCCCTATAGGACGGTAGAGCTGCCTTGGGATTTCTGAGACTAAATCTCTATGGGCACAGATAGCCTTAGCTGTCTCCCACAGGACAAGGCTGATAGGTGTGAATTGCTGACTTGTAGTTAAGCAGCCTACTACCTACACCACAGAACTGCCTTCGCCAGGGATGGACATCCAAGTTATGGAAGGATCATGTAGTACCCTCCTAGGACCTCCTGGATGGTAACATCCCTGAGGACTTCCACAGGGGTGGGGGGAGGCTTACTAGCAATGTAGCAGCAGGGAAAGCACAGGGTATCAGAGGACCAGAATATGGAATAGAAATCATCCCTTCTCTACCATTAACAAGTTGTGCCTTTGGACGAGTCCACTACCGTTCATGGCCCTCTCCAGAGGTGTTCTCCTTTGTAGAATGAAAGCCACTTCTGTGCCAACCTCAAGAGCGTTGTGTGCTGATCAAACATGAATGAGGACCTATTTTTACATTTGTTCTGGGACATCACGCGCAGCTCTAAATAAGGACAGAAATGTGGTATTTTTTTTAAGTGAGTTGTTTTGCTGGCCAGTAGGACATCGACACTCTCAATTTCTCCCTCAGCTTTGAGGGTCACGATGGAGACCCCGACCAAGGAAGGTTTCCTGAGCCTTTCCCCGCATCTGAATACACCAAGTGAGCCAGGGGTCAGGGGAATAAATGCAGCTCCGTTGTGTGCCCAAGATTTAGCCCCATCCCGTCACACATCGCTCAGACACTCTGGTTCGAAACCCGAAGACTGGCCAGGCAACCTGAGCCACCCTGACTTTGCGACACGACACAGCAGCTCTTTCTCCGTGGAGACAGGCTGTGAAGAGAAGCATGGGAAAGCCTGCTCTGGAGCTGCATGAGGCCCTCTTCTTGCACATGGACAGCATCGCGCTCAAAAGGAAGAGCACCTTGCCATTTAGTCTTTGATGTGAAACTGCTTGGATACCGTCCCCTCTGGCCCTTTATCTCTGGAGTCAGAAGGGACCTGACACCAGAGTGGGCCCAGCCCCTCTCCTGCTGGAGCACAAGCTCTTCCTGGTTCCACGGCCTCTGGGCCTTTCGTTTATTTCTCAGGAGCAGTCCCTGCCCTCCTTCGTAAAGCAGATGTTCTCAAGCAGGCTCGAGTTGGCTAATGTCTACTTCCAGAGGTGTGCCGCTGGCTTCATGGCTTGTATTCGGGTTCAGGATCAACAAGCCCGCTGACCACACCGATCACCGCGCTAATGGTGGTGGGAGAACCTGGAAACAGATCACGGTCGTGGTTGGACATAAACCCTGCCGCTGAATCAACGTGCTCGGAGAGTGTGGAAATAGCAAAAGACAAGTGATCTCTTACATGAACCTTCATTCATTGCACATGAAAAAAAAAGTTGGCGGGGGGAGGGGGGGGCAGGTGGCGGGAATGTTACTGAATACATATCCGGAAGACCATTTATATACATTTTAAAAGAAAGAAGATATAAATACTCCAGGAGAGCAAAAATACTTCAGAATGACCAACCACCGCAACAATACACATGTACTGAGCCACACATTCCTGTGACTCCGCCCATCTTCAACACCCCCCCAGAGCCAAAGGCAGAGCGGATGGGAAGGCCTCTCATTCAGATCACACACACACACACACACACACACACACACACACACACACACCTATGTACATTAAGGAACAACAATGTAGCACCTTTTCTAGTCCCTCTTGACTGGGAACTGTGAGCAACAACTTCAAGACTCCTGTGGAGGCAAATGAGCCACATGCAAGACCCCAAACCCTTCTCCAAGAGCCGAAGCTGGCAAACCCCAGGGGAAGATCTGTTGGCTGAACCGCCGAGACCTCGGCCTCCATTTTCTCAGTTAGACTCATTCATAAACAACACGGGCTCCACATAAACTTGAATAAAACCCAGATGCCACTTGTGAACACAATGAGTTCCTGCTCCCTGGAGGCCCTGGGGGCGGTGAGATGCCACAAACACTCGGCCTGCGGCAACGTCCGTTCCCAGCCCCAAGGGGTGTGGGTTAGAGAAATGCTGTGCCAAGGGGAGGTGGGATCAGCGTGTGCCAGGTGAAGGCTGGGGACCCAGGGGGGTGGGGAGGGGAGGGCCCACCCATCTGCTGTCTACTCTCTGGAATTCGGATCTGACACTCTCATTCTAGAAAAGGCCGTCTTCAGTAACATCCAGAGCTTCTCCAAGGGAGCATAGGGACAGGGTGTTGGCGTGCCCCAGCAGCACGAGGTGTGTGCCTTTGGGGAATCAGCTAACCGTGTAGACCTCACTTCCCTCCCTGCAGATGGAGCTATAGAATGTCCCCCCCACACACAGTTGTCATGACGGTAGAATGAGAACCTACCCGGACAGTGCTTAACCATGTTTCAAAATGGCTTGGCTCGTTGTAAAAGTAAAACAAACCAAAAAAACGGTCGCACTGAATAAAAGCAAACAAATATGTATCTACCAAAGAACGCTAAAATTCCCAAGAGGTGACGCTTACTTGGGATCAGTTGAAGCACTTCTAGTTTGGGCTTTGTATCAAGCATCAGATAAGAGGGCACTTGCAATAAGGTAGGCCTAGAAGGAGGGGCTGGAATCAGTAACTAGGGTGGGTGTGGGTGTGAAGGCTGGGAGGGGACCATTTAAAAGCGTGCGTCTGTGTCCAGTTAGTTCTGCTTGAGGGCCAGAGGCTTTATGAT